ATTTCTTTCATTGATGTGATCCTTTGTGTTGGAACCCACAATATTTTCAGTACCTCACCGTGTTTATATATTTTTATTTATACGTTCCGATACTTCAAACTTCAATAGTTGTTACATCTTTAATTCAATTAGTTTCTCAATTATATCTCCTTAAACCGTCTGAGGTTGTATTTTACTCAAAAAGAAATTTCTACTAAGTTTTAAGTTTTCAACTCCCCTGTTAAAGGTAATAATTCTTCCGATGTTGTATTTTAAATTTAAAGAGGTATTTTCTTACGAGAATGATTTCTAAAAATAACTTCATCTTTTCTCGCCGATTTTTTCAAACTTATTTAGAAATTCAAATTTAATTTATATTATGCAAATGGGACTTCTTGAACATCTTAAGTGTATTTGTAAGGACATTTGGTATTGTATATCATGGGGATTTTGTTGTTAAGAGTGAGATGGAAAATATGTGGGCACAAGGTGCCGTACGTGCTGAAAGTTCGAAAGTTGAGATTATCATATGAGAAATCGAGGATTGAAATGGTCGAGATGGTGTATTAAACTTAATGGGAGTGATTGAGTTGACATTGTTTCTTTAGTTGGATACATTCTTACTTGTCCCTGTCTGCGCTATATCAGTGTTGAATTGCTTGGCTTATCTGATTTATGGATCTCCGTTCGTTACTATCCGTGTTCTCCCTTTATTGTTTATATTGTTTGTGCCTGGATTTCTCTCCACAGTTGGTATTACTTCTTTATCTTTATCTTGATGTTTATTATCATATCCTGTTAATCTTAATTGACCAGTAGGTTTCCTGACTGTTCCTCGTCACTACCTCACCGAGGTTAGTCTTGATACTTACTGGGCACCGTCGTGGTGTGCTCATACTACACTTTTGTACATTTTTTTGTGTACAGATCCAGGTATTGATCGATAGTAGCTGTGTGGATCGTCGCAGTGGAGACTCACGATAACCTGCTGCTGCGTTCGCAGGTCTCGGAGTCACCTTCAATTGTAATTATTTCCATTTGCTCTTTGTTTCGGGGCAGAGATGTATTATTCTATGTAATTACTCTTAGATGGGCTTGTGACTTGTACCACCGGTTTTGGGGAAATTTTGGATTATTCAGAGTTGGTTAATTTAAAGTTAGAAAGCATCAATGTTATTTCAGTTTATGTTGGGCTTACCTAGTTTAGAGACTAGGTGCCATCACAAAACCCAACGGAGGGAAAATTGGGTCGTGACAGATCTAGAATTTGAAGTTTATATGTTTCTATAACGAACTCAACTTAATATACATTACTAAATGGGCCACGCACTCAACTATTTATAGACATACAAAATATTTCTTAATAAACATACAATAAATCTGTTGAGCAAATGTTACTGAATTACGAGCAAAAGTTGTGCCTTTGTCTGGTTCTCGCAATTTATAGGTGTATGAAATATCAGTGATGGTGCCGAATCATGGAATCGTCGTAATGTGCAATATAATACGTGTGAGATGAATTATTCTGCCAATAATACTAACAACTGCTTGTAATAGTGGTCCTATTTTTCTCCATAGGTTTTTAACTTGTTATGTGTGATACATGTGGTGGCCTGGGCGACGATATATATATATATATTGGAACCGTCCAGTGTACTTCACGGGTGAAAATTCAAAGATAGGAACAAATTGTAATTACGTGAAGCATTTTGAATTCCAACTTTCTCGTGGAGAAAGAAAATATGTTTGGATATTTGTAGTTTTCTTAAAGATTTGTGAGTTTTTATTTTAGCGAGAAAAAAAGAAGCTTTTCTTTGAAAAACACATGCGAACTGCTTTTACCAAAAACAATTTGCTGGAAAAAGCTTTTTACAGAAACGTGTTAACAAAACTACTTAACAAATTAAACACTATCGGAAAATAATCTTGTTGTAAGATTTCAATAATATTTCCACAATCACATACCACCTTGTGAAGTTCAAGTTTTAAAGATAGGAACAGGTTTTAGTAACGTGAAACATGCATGGTGCATGTGGTGGATGATGTACAATAAATTACGTGGCCGATAGTAACATATTTTCACAATAATAGTAACTTTTCCACATTTTCCATAGGCTTTTTGTCGGGTACACAAGGACATCTAATTATCTGAATTACGTAAGTATAGATCTTGAACTATTTATATACTTATGGTAAGATTTTAAGTTGGATGTTCATATTCTTTATGATTTTTATGAAATTCAAGCTTCGGAAATGGAGCCAAATTATAGTTTATATGTAGCATGAAGGATTTTTCCAAGAAATTTCTATTGGTTTGTCAACTTTTGCTTTTTAAATTTACTAATTATTGAAAAATTCAGCTCTTCACAATTTGCAAATCAAAGATGAGAAAGTGGCAAAATCTTGAGAAAACGTGTGATGTATGAGCGTTTGTCATCTGCTATTTACGTATTTCATTCCAGTAATGGAAACATGACAACAGCCATGACAACAATCTTTCAACTTCTTAGTATCAGTCAAATGTTTTGGATCTCTAAGTATGATAATATTGGAAAGCTAATTAAATGTATGAATCATTTCATTTTTTCCTTAAAACTTGTCAAAGAAGAAAACCGCAGTTTAGGTTTAATTTGTCGACGGAATATTAGTCCACGGAATTCCCTTCTCTTGGAGATTCCATTATATATATGTATATGTTGTAGGGTATTATGTAGAATTGGACTTATCCAAAGAACTTTTTTATATATGCGTTCGCATGCAATGTAGAGACGGATCCAGGATTTGAAGTTCATATGTTCTACAACGACCTCAATTTAGTATTACAGTTATACCGAGTTCATAGTCAAATATTTATAGATATTTATTAAATTTCTTAAGTATACACAAGGTCTAGGCAAAAGCTATTAGATTCATGTGAATACTAACTAACACAGTGGATCCACATTGCAATATATCGAAAAGATGGCGAAGAGATACTGACTTTTGTTATATTGTGAAAAGCTTAAGAGTCCTTATTCTTCAAATACATATTTTTTTATTCTTTAAATACATATTTTGCATTGGATAAAATTGTAATTTAATTATTTTTTAATATTTAAGATTTTGAAATAATCTAAGATTATGATTATTAATTTTTTCATTGTTTGAACTAAGTAACAAGTTCTAAAATTTAGAACTTTAGATTCAAATAAGATTTACCTTATATAATTTATTTCCCTATTTGAACTATACAACATAATTATATTTCCTCTCATATTAGTTTTGCTAATATTTGGACTTTTGAAAAAGTGCACGATAAGTTTGTTTGACCATTTAATAATGAATTATTTTTTATATGGCATATTTAACAAATATTAGTTTGAATTCGCTAGCAGCCATGTGTGTTTGCAAATATTCAAGTTCAAGTTTCCTAATTGAAAAAAAGGTTCAAGTTTGGAAGAAATAATATTGCTGTATATTTTCTTTTCTTGCGTAAGGAAGAGCTTCAATTTTTTTGAACTTAGATATAATTTAGTACAAAAAGCTCCAAAAAGGTCTTACACAAGTGCACAAATCCACCATAGAAATAAATAAATCAAGAATGTTTAAGCATATTTTATCCTACAAAAAATAATTAAATTATATATATATATATATTAAAAACATTTGTTAGAAGTTAGTAGTATTATATTATGAACGTTGGTGTTATTAAAGTGTCCACGAAATATATGCCTAAGCATATATATATGTAATATAATTGAATACTATATAGAACCACAACTTACATAGTAGATTTGAAAACATTGAACTTATGGAAAATGCATATCTCAAGAGATTTAGACTCAACCTTCAGGCTTCATCTAATTAGTCAATTTATAAATATTTAATAACCGTCATATCTCTTTCATGCTCTTTAATATTAGAGATTTTGATACTTTTTGCTCAAAAAAAAAAAGACTTTGATACTTCTAATACTTCTTCCGTTTCAATTTATTTAAATATATTTTCTTCTAGTTCGTGCCAAAAAGAATGATCCCTTTCCAGATTTAGAAACAATCTAACTTTATGCAATGATTTATAGCCACACAATATATGTATCTCATTTTACACCACGAGTTCGAAAAGTCTTCTTTTCTTCTTCTTAAACTCTGTGCCCGTCAAATAGGTTAACATAAATTAAAACAAAGGGAGTACTACTTAATACTTGTAACATTTCTTTGAAAAGCCTTAATTAAGCTTGAATTTATAGGTAGAATATTATTTTGTTAATACAAAAAGAGAATTATAAGTAGAGTAATATAACTACATAAGATCTCCAACCGAGATGAAGAATGAACATGTTCATTCTTTTGAAACGACACATATTTTAAATATATATATAAAATATCTCGTTTTGAAGCCAAAGAGAAAAAAGGAAAAAAAAAAAAAAACATTGAGGATGCTTGTGCATTCGTAAGTGACACAGACTGAAAGACCTTTTCTTCACGAAAACCAAATTAACATGACTTTATTGTCTAGGCATAAAACTTACAACGGAAAAGGTCCAAAAATATCCTTGAAACAATTTATACTTAAATTTTATACACTGAAAATTATTTATATAATGAGGTCAGTACTCATAAACTATTATATTCATTGGTTATCCGGTAAAAATTGGCAACTAACGTGCTAACACATATTTAAATTCACTAATATACCAAAAAAATCTTTACACTTCAAACTAATAATCTTAAATCCACTTACATTAGTAGCTAATTTATGAGATATGGTGATCACTAAAAGGTTGCTATAATTTGGGCGGTCCGACCCAGCGCATGTTTCACAAATAAAATGAGTAAGGCGAGTTATGTCATCTAGAAGACTAGATAGAATGGATTGAAATTCTTATTTGCCCAGCCGTCGTTTTCAACAGTTTCAAAATACCTAAAATGTACGATAAAAAGATAATAATGACATGTATACAAAAACAAAGAGAGATGATAGAGGACACGGCAACTAGTTTTACTAGTTACTAGTAGCTAATTGAGTAGTATAAATTGCAGGCTAAAGAAACCCAAATTTCCCACCCACATTTCTTCTCTCTTCAATATAACTCTTCAGCTTCTTTTCTGCGGCTGCTCCGGTCATCACCCCACTTTGGTATAAATATAACTTCTCACATTTTCTTAATTCACCTTCTTTCAAACTTACCTATAGATATTCTTTGGTTGACATGAGTATAGCCTGATTGAAATTATAGGCGACTTGACTTTACAATCTATTTCTTTCGAGTATATATAATCAGTTCTGTGCCAAAATTTAAATACTTACATAATTATATTGTTGGTGCATATTATAACTTAATTAGATGACTTTAATGTCTTTTTATCTAGCCAAGTAAATCTTGTTAACAATGCATTGCTAGCATCAGTAACTCTCTTATCATTAATTCACCTTTTAGCTTGATATCATTAATCTCCGAAATTAAGTAAGCTGTTGTCTTCAATACACATGAAGAACCTTATAGAGAATAAAAACAAGAGAAAAAGGAAGCGATTTTCTTCTAAAGCGTACAGTTAAATTCTTTCATGTGCATGTAGTAGCTCTAAATAAACTTGAAAATCAACCAAAATGGACATATTTCTGGACATATATTAACGCTACTCACTAATCATTTTAACTATTAATGTCTATCTTTACCTTTTGATTTTACCATGTACAGTAGAAAGAAAAAAACAGTGCTCTTATATTTGCTAAATTCTGACTAAAAATTGGGGAATTCCAGAAAGAGAAGACATGGCAAAGGGAAGCTACGAGAAGGCCATTGTTTCACTCCAGAACCTCCTCAGGTAATTTGGACCATCGTATATCTAACATTAACTGAAATATGCTTCAAACAGGAATCGTAAGATACTTTTGTTTTTTAAATAATTAGAAAAAGAACCAAAGTTGTTCCTTTTAACCCAAGTACTTGTTCAAAGTTTTGTTTTAAAACTTCTTCAACAAAAATATTTCTAAATATCTAGCTGCTTAAACAGTTTTTAATAAAAGTTATTAAAAATTTATTTTATATTTGAATGATTATTCTTAGAAGATATATATATATATATATATATATATATATATATATATATATATATATATATATATATATATATATATATATATATATATATATATACGTAGTCAAACTATATTGTAACATATATATTTATATAAATTTTGTATTTATTATAGAGTAATAATTACATGTCTTCAGTTTCACAAGTCAACTCGTTGAGCGTCCACCTGACATAGATCAATTTTATCCCATGCGACAATTTGCAAACCACATATGAAAAAATGTGTGATAAAATACGAGAATTTGTCACCTATTGATTATGTATTTCATTTCAGTAATTGAAACATGACAACAATATTTCAGCTTCTTAACCTCAGATGCTCCAAATTTGGCATTCACATGTTCTGGATCTCTAAGTAGATCGGAANTCAAGAGGTCTTGTCGTATCTTGAATTTAGGATTTAGCTTCATCCATTAAAATTTCGATGTCTACAAATGCCCCCTACTTCATGGTTTGTCGGGGTGTAGGCTTGGCGAAACTTGAAGTACCCGATCACAACGGAAATATTTGAAATAGTTTCGATTTGCAGGAGGAAGAGATGAACGGCAGAACTGGTCCCACTGGGTGTGCCAATTTGTTTGCAACAAATTATATGTGATACAAAAATAAATTGCAATCACAAAATAAATATGAAGAAACATAATTTTATTCGTAAAAAAAAAAAGAAGCGGGTACAATTCTGTTTATCCCCTTGATTCTTCTCTCCTGATTATCTCCGTGATTCGAGGGCAAGAACAACGTGTTTCTCGAACGTAGGATGGTGCGGGCTTTCATGGATTTATTTGATATCCATGAAGTATGTTGTGGATATTCTTAAAGTATTTGATTATCAAGAATTATCCGGCCACTTCTTGATCTCTTTGTGAATATCCCGTGAGTTTATGGGATTTTCGAGATGATCTCCATTTTTNNNNATGGGATTTCGAGATGATCTCCATTTTGAGATCTTTTTTAAAGGATTATGAAACCCTTTTTATAGGAGTGACCTAGGGTTTCGGTAGAGTAGCCTCCAAGCAACACTGACAGACTCCTAGAGTTTCAAGAGGTCTTGTAGTATCTTGAATTTAGGATTTAGCTTCATCCATTAAAATTTCGATGTCTACAAATGTCCCCTAGAATTTGTAGACAATAAATTTGCGTCGAGAAAATAAAATCAAGACCGAAAAATATCGCAACAATTGTAGTATTTTATTTCGAATATTTGAGTGTTACAATCTCTATGAATCCTCTGATTCTTCTTTTCAACAGTAAATAAATTCAAGGGCCTTTGAGCTTGATCTTGAATATGTAGTTGTTTCCACGAACGATGATCTTGTTCTTGAGCTTTAGCTTGATTGCTTGAACTTGACCTTGATTTGTTCTTCGTTCTTGAGCTTGAACTTGATTTCTTGAACTTGAACTTGATTGCTTGAAGCTTGAAACTTGTAGAGAAATTTGCAGCTTTTGATCCACGAGCTCTCTCTTGCTTCTTGTTATTACTTCTGGTGCCTTTTCTGAGTTATGAAGACCCCTATTTATAGTTGTGGAAGGGAGGAGTCATGATAAAAACAAACTCTTTCCGACCAATCAAATTGTAATGTGACATGGCCGCATTTTATTGGCCAGAACATGTCACTTGCACACGTGGCATGATTTCATTGGCCTTTCAGTGTGACTGGGCATGCCTTGTCATTTTGACACGTGGCATGATCCTATTGGCTCTTCCATTTGACTTGGCGCGCCACGTCATTTGACATGTGGCACCAAACTGGACCTTTAAGAAGATGTCATCTTGGGCTTAATGAAGTGGGCGCATCCCTTTAGCCCAATTAAATGGGCAAGCCCAATGGATTAAGACTTATTTATTTAATCCATATGTATTGGACTTATATAATTAATTCAATTATATTAGCCCATAATATTTATTTGGACCAATATATCTTGAATTTAAAATATAGTCCAAATTATTTTATGGATTTAATTTAACTAAAATTTATATGCTTACAAATGTCCCCTACTTCAAGATTTGTCAAAGTATTAACGTAATGACCAGGCTTGAAGTATTAACAAAGGCTATTGGCGCCTTTCTTCCTGCCGATGCTTTCACGGGCTTATTCATTCATGCCTCCTTCAAATCATATTTTAAGAGATTTTGCTTTCATTTAATTGAAATATCTCATTTTGTCAGAAGGAGAGTGCTTATGGTTTGGACCATGATTATTTACTTTGTCTTTTAATCAATGATATCTTAAATTAAAAGCTCCTTTGTACATTGAGATCAACGTCCTTACTACATTGAAATCAATATCTTTGTCATCAATTACCTTCATATGTGCACATAGAGTCTTGGATTTAGTGGACCCAAATAGAACCAACAAATACACATCAACAACAAATTGATGCATAGTGACACCCAACTGACATAAGCCCGTGATTGAGAGACACTTTAGTTAAGGAATTTTAATCCATCAGTTACCCGTAGGGAGTACACGTGTGCATTGATCAAGACTCCTTTTTATCGCCGAATCCTATTAAGACTCTAGTTAGATATCTACTCGGACATGGAATGGTTGAAGTCATGCGGTAATAATTCCCTAATGGCCACGTTATTGCACCTATAAATATAGATCATGCCTTCCATTCAGAGACATCAATCGTACTGCTAGCAGTCTATTTTGTTGTCTCCTTTTGTTTTCCTTTTAGAAGTGACTTCGTCAAACTACGAAGTCCTTTAAAAGTTCGAGATGAAGGCCTTTAAAGTTCGAAATGAAGGCTTTTAAAAGTTCGTGATGAAGATCTTTAAAATTTGCGGTGAAGACCTTTAAAAGTTCGCGCAATGATCCTTAAAAGCTCGTGGTCAAGACCTTTAAAAGTTCGCGGTGAAGACTTTTAAAAGTTCACGCAATGATCTTTAAAAGCTCGTGGTCAAGACCTTTAAAAGTTCGCGGTGAAGACCTTTAAAAGCACGTGGTGGAGACCTTTAAAAGATCGTGGCGAAGACCCTTAAAAGTTCGCAATGAAGACCTTTAAAATTTGCGGCAAAGACCCATAAAAGCTCGTGCAAAGATCCTTAAAAGCTCGTGGTCAAGATCTTTAAAAGTTCACAGTGAAGACCATTAAAAGTTCGCAGTGAAGATCTTTAAAAGTTCGCGACGAATACCTTTAAAATTTGCGGGGAAGACCCATAAAAGTTCGTGCGAAGATCCTTAAAAGCTCGTGGTCAATACATTTAAAAGTTCGCGGTGGATACCTTTAAAATCTGCGGCAAAGACCCATAAAAGTTTCTGCAAAGATCCTTAAAAGACCGTGGTCAAGATCTTTAAAAGTTCACATTGAAGACCTTTAAAAGCTCGCAATGAAGACCTGTAAAAGTTCGCGACGAATACCTTTAAAATTTACGGGGAAGACCCATAAAAGTTCGCGCGAAGATTCTTAAAAGCTCGGCAATGAAGACCTTTAAAAGTTCGCAGCGAAAACTATTAAAAGCTCGCGACGAAGACGTTTAAAGATTCGTGGCAACGACCCTTAATAGCTCATGGTCAAGACCTTTAAAAGTTCGCGGTGAATACCTTTAAAAGCTCGCGGTGGAGACCTTTAAAAGCTCGCAGTGAAGATCTTTAAAAGTCCGCGACGAATACCTTTAAAATTTTGCAACGAAAACCGTTAAAAATTCGGATGCCTTTAAAAGTTCGAGACGAACACCTTTAAAAGTTCGCAACGAAAACCGTTAAAAACTCGGATGCCTTTAAAAGTTCGAAATGAACACCTTTCAAAGTTTGCAACGAACACCGTTAAAAACTCGGATGCCTTTAAAAGTTCAAAATGAACACCTTTAAAAGTTCGCAACGAACACCGTTAAAAACTCGGATGCCTTTAAAAGTTCGAAACGAACACCTTTAAAAGTTCGCAACGAACACCGTTGAAAACTCGAATGCCTTTAAAAGTTCGAGACGAGCACCTTTAAAAGTTCGCAAGGAAAACCGTTAAAAACTCGTATGCCTTTAAAAGTTCGAGACGAACACCTTTAAAAGTTCGCAATGAACACCGTTAAAAACTCGGATGCCTTTAAAAGTTCGAAATGAACACCTTTAAAAGTTCGCAACGAACACCGTTAAAAACTCGGATGCCTTTAAAAGTTCGAGACGAACACCTTTAAAAGTTCGCAACGAAAACCGTTAAAAACTCGTATGCCTTTAAAAGTTCAAGACGAACACCTTTAAAAGTTCGCAACGAAAACCGTTAAAAGAATTCCGACATAGACATCCCCTTTTTCCTTTTTAAGGCATAGGGCGGACTTGGAGACCAACAAACTTGAAGGTTTGGCGAACCTGAAGGCACAAATAATCCCTGGACTTCAATGCAAATACTTGACATCCTCCTAATATCGGCCCATTGAAGATATCACTTTACCATGGAGGGTTGCCCCCTTTAAATCAAATGAGATCAAAGTTCAACAAGAGGATGGCGTTTCAGCTTGATTTTACATTCCTCCATACTTCACTCAGACAACAATTGGGGCAATATGTATCTTTTGAACTTATGCGACTGAACTTAGAATAAAACTCTAAGCTGCCTACGTACCCCGGTGAAGAGGATCAAGTCATACCGTAGTTCAGACTGGGTAGATTTTATTTATTTTTTTACGTCCTAACTTTTGCCTAGGCCGCCTCTTTCGAGATTTTCAACCTAGCGGACTATTTTTTTTTTGGGGGCCGTACACAGTTTATACTCTTTCGGGCCAGGAGTGT